GTCCCTTCCAACCTGAAGATTCTATGATTCTTTGATTGTGTTTTAACATAAGAGACCGTTTCCTTTGGCATTTGGGAGCCAGGCTTTGCTGCCAAACATTTATGTCTGCAATTTCAGGACCTGTGTTAAGAGCTTTTTGGCCCACTGCATGGATGCATGCATATTCTGCTGCCTCGGGCTATTTACTGACTTCGTGTTTTTTTCTTGCCAGCAGGCTACAATATGATGGTCTGGGATGGTACAGACAACTCATCGTGCATCCTAAAGAAACCACGGTGTTACAGCTTGGGGGAAAACCTGATGACAAGACAGACAGCAAGGGAGAAACACAGAAAGGAGAAGGAGCTGACATATGCCAAGAGCCTGAGGAAGAGGAGATCTTTCCTGAAAACTGATTATACCTCACAGGTCACTTTCCCCTTGGCTTTGCCAGGCTCTCTGCAGAGCTGCTGCTCTTGGCCACCACCTGCACCACTCCTTGCTCAGCCTCCCACTCCATCCTCCTCAGCGAACGTCAAGAAGAATGTAGAACTGGCACTTCCGGCTGCCACCCAGGCCCAGAGAGACACTGCTAGCACAAACTCATCCTCTGATCTGATGGAAATGGAGCCTGACGCCATGGAAACAAAATCAGTGACTGACTCAGTGGTTTCTTCCATTTCAGCTGTTCGCCTGCAGGGTGACCAGCACAGGGAGGAGAGTGCAGGCGTTGCCATATATGTGGATGGTGGCCTCCAACCTGCACATTCTGCACATCCACCTCTTCTGTCCCTGGAGGAAGCTCTGCCTCTTCATGGGGGACAAAGCAGAGCTGCCCAGGAAACTTCCTCCATGAAGACAAACATGGCATGGCTGAGTGAGGAGAGTTCTGTGGCCAGCAGCAGCTGGCTGGCCCAAGTGGCACAGGAGGAAGTGGGTGAGGCAAAGGCAGCCCAGCACAAGGCTAGCAATGTACCTCCATTCCTGGGCCAAGAGGTGACCTGCTGCACTAACGAACACACACTGCCACCATCAGCTTCTGGCCCCACTGTGGCCTCTCCCTATGAGGTGGCCCAGGACCAGGAACTGCTCTGCACTGCTAGCAGGCAAGCAGCATGTGAGGAGCTTGTCTCAGCTCTCTGTGAAGAAAGAAAAGCTAATTATGACAGCTGTGCTGAAAACAGCAGTGACAGTGCCTTGTCACAGGCAAAAAGCAGACAAGTGATAAACAAGGAGGTCTTACGGAAAGTGCACAATAAAAATCACGTGGGTTTTCCAGATGCAGCTCAGCTCTTAACAGATTGCAGCAGCACTTCAGGGGTTATAACTCGCCTCTCCTGGCTCTCATTTGGGATGAGAACAGACCTCGTATCACCCAGTCCATCTCAGGAAAGGGTAGATATCCCACTAGAGCTTTTGGCCTTTGAGACCAGTGGGTGCCCAGGGGCTGATGCTGTCAAATGGGAGATGCAAACATCCCCAGCTGGACCATTGTTGGAGAAGGAGTTGGTAAGCAGCCAAGGGCTGGATGAAGAAGAGCCCAAAAAAGATGCAGGAAATATGGCTCACGAACAGCCATGGCCTGTTCAGGTGACGCTTCCCAGAGAACAGGTTACTGAGGTGGGGAAAGACTCTTCTCTGACTCCATCTTTAGGGCTTTCCATCTCCTCAGGCCCAATTCCCTTGGGCTCATTGGGGAAAAGAGCAGGAGACTGTGGGGCTTCAAAACACTCCTTCCTCTGCTTTAACCACAAGAAGGATAAGCAGACCCCTTCTGACCCCATCATGACCAGGTCCTTGGGTTTTTCCACAATGAAGAAGATATCTCCACCACAACTTGGGATGGAAAAGTGCAGCTGTCGGCTGTCCTATATCAGCTGCTTCCACAGGCCTGATGATAAGGGGGAATGCGAAACCACCATCCCCATGTGCAGCACCTTCCTGGGCCCCCTCACCACCCCACCATCCAGCCGCCACAGTCTTCCTGGGACCCCTGTGGGCCGTTACCCAGTCTCCACTGCTAGGAATGTAGCATGGTGGGACCCTCATGTCCAAGCCCTCAGCCAGCTGAAGGACCAGGCACAGATGAGCCCTGCAGATTTCTCCTGCTTCCTAGGCTACACCACAGAGCTTCAGGAGGTTGTGGGGAAGCTCTCTGGGAATGAAGCAACCCACCTGCAAGATCAATGCGCAGAGCTGGGTGCTGAGAGCAAGGGTGCCCTTGGCTTAGCCTCCCAGGACCTGCTGTGCAGTTGCCAGGAGCTCCTGAAAACAGAGCAGCCCCTCAAAGAGCTGCAGGGTGCCCTGAGGGTGACATTCAAGCACCTGGTTCAGCTGGCAGTGGCCTGCTTCCAGGTGACACATTGCCAGCTGTGCAGGCAGAGGCAGCAGGAGCTTGGAGCTGCGCTCGTGGATGTGGTGGGCACCTACCAGCAGCTTGTGCAGGCTGTTCACCAGCAGCTTTGCAGACAAGGCTGCCCGGATTTGGGTGCCAAGCTCCTCGCTCGCCAACACACAGCCCTTACAGCTGCCATGTTTTTTCTTCTGCAGCAGTTCAGGGTACCCCAGTTGTTGTGATGGGGCTGTTTGGTGGCACATGAGTGCACTAGATGGGGAAGAGCCCAGACATATTCCCTCTGTCCACTACCAGGCTCTCTCCCACAGGATGTTTAGCCCCACAACTTGAGAATGGTCACAGAAGGACATGTCTATGCGTGTCGGTTTAGCTCCACCAACAGCCGCCCTGTCTGGGGGGTGGTCATGGGGCAGAGCATAGTTCCCTCCAGCCTAGCTTTGTGTAATTCTGTGTACACAATCCATATGTACTATGCAAACTCGTAGAGTACTTCAGTGGCTTGCATACCTTGCCTAGGGCTTGTCCGTCACCTTTCAAAGGCCTGGCAGGCGGCCAGTCTCAAGGTGTTGTCTTAGCTGCCTTCTCTTGCCTGTGGAGAAAGACAGGAGCCTTCTGGCCTGCCCTTCCCCTCACTCCTTACTCTCCAGGCAGACTCTAAAGTAGAGGGACGTCAAATCCCACCTTGGCCTGACATGAAGAACCCAGGCTGCTTTGTCCACCACCTGTGGCTGATGTGTCTGGACTTGTAATGCAAACCTCTTCGGGAACAAAGCTATGCTATATTTAACTGCTTTTCCTTGCAAGGGCTGAAGAGAGGGTTGTCCTAGGTCAGGGAGGCAACACCATATCCTGTTTTTCTGATCTGGTTTCTGTATGTCAGCCAGCTCTTCTATTTATGTTTGCTGATGCTTGAGAAAGTCCCTGATGACATACACACACACTCCCCCTCCGCCACTACTTACAGATCCATGTCTTCCAGAGGGAAGAAGTAAGCCCCAAGACTGAAATGCCACCTTCACAGCTATGGAAATGACCCATTATGCTGGTCTCCCTAGGAGAGGGCAAGCCTCTTTTCCCAACTTCATCAGTAGCTTTCCTGTCATATACAGTATATCCCTAACTACATATGAGCTGTTTGTCCCTTAAGGTCATCTAACTGTGCATCCCTAGTGAATCAGTACTCCAGTGCTGGAGGCATGACCTTGGCCCCCTCTGATGAGGAGGGCAGAGGTAGGTCCCAGACTGCTGGTGTCTTAACTTACTTAGGGGCTTATTTGGGAGCAGCTGGTTTTCTCTGAGGGATGCCTGCTGTCACTGCAGCAGGTCAGTTGCTGCAGCCAAGTAGGCTCAGGATGGAGGGGTCTGCATCAGGCAGCAGAGGAGCATGGATGTACCACAGTAGGTGGCCAGCTCTGCCCATGCAAACCACATCTCCCCAAACACCAGGAATGCGTGAGGACAGGATTGTCCTGTGGCTCTGTAACATCTGAGGGAGGCCAACCCATTTTTTGCTCATTCTTTAATGCTTCTGGAGGGAGTATAGGGCAAGCCCTTGCAGATGAATCCTGCTGTGGAAGAGGATGGCAGCTGGGGCTGAAGGGAGTGCTGCAGCACCCCAAAGAGACTACCCTAACAGACAGGCAAGCAAACACCCACAGGAATTCAGTAACCTTTAGCAGCCCTGCATCTGCTACCCTCACAGTGTGTCTGCAGGCAGCAAGCTAGCTAACGAAGGGCAGTCTGTTTTCCTGGCCACACAGTGATAGCATGGCCAGAGTACCTTCAGCTACTGGGGGCTGCACTGCCAGGTGGTTTGAATTAGTGTGTGCTGCTGCCTAGCAAACTGGGGGGCCTCAGTTGCACTTACAGCCTCTTACACTGAAGTCCAAGTGCAGACCTCTAACTACACACCAAAAGCTGTTGAGCAGGGGGGCATGAAGATTAAGAACTGGAAGAGCCCATGGGATGCCAAAAGAGCCCATAGAGCAGAGCAAAGCAACAGGCACCGGCAAACACAAGTTCAGCCTATGTGGGGAGCAACACCCTGTGTCCACCAACAGCTTCTGCTGCAGCAGGCCCTACTGACACTCTCATGGACACAGAATTCCAGGATTTGTAAAGGCTTTTGATGTGAAGCAGAAATTAAAACACATAAGCATGTGAGATAGTGATTTAGCTTAGAAGACCTTCAAGACCCTCCTCTGGTGGTTAGACATAGTCATTGATGGTGAGTGTTTTTTGGGTGTTTGGCGCTTTTTTAGCAACAATGGCTGAGGTAACATACCAACTTAGATGCATCAAAAATGCTTTCTGCTTTGGACATGGAATGTGGCACTGCTCTTTGGGCAGGGCACAGTCAAATCCCAGGTACATTTTCACATTGGGGTTAGTGAACTTCACACATCAGTGTGTGATGATGATGCATGCATCAGTAACTGTCAGGATGCAAGGGTAGTTTAAGAGTAAACATTTTATTTTAGATTAGATGCACAGTATTAGCTATAGGCTTCAACAACTCAGCAAGTCTTCAACTCAACTGGTTTAAAGTTGTTAGGACATGGCACACCTGGGAACTGCTTCTCCACTGGGGAATCACTTCCCATCTTGTGTCCCCCAACTGGAACAGCACTGTCCTTTTCCATGGGAAGCAATTTTTGTCATCAGTGAGCTTTGCAGTTCTAACCTCACCTTACTTACTGTTTAATCAAGATGATAGAAATACCTTTATGTCTCCTCCCTGTCCCAGAACAAGTGTAGATGCAAGAGTCAGAAACACTCTAACAAGCATCTGCAAAGAAGCAAAACTGAATTCTTGTCACTTTTTAGTTGTTCATAGGGCTCCATTGGCTCGTTTCCTGTTCAAGGAGAAAAGTAATTTCCAGCATTGTGCTGCTGAGATAGGATGTGTCACTTGCGACAAGTTCCTTAAATGATTTAAACAGAGCTGTTTTCTCTATGCACATTCATGCTGGTGCCTCTGCTTGAAATTCGGAGTTTGTCTCTCTTTGCACAGCTCCTTAACATCACAAAATAAAGAGTTTTCTTGTGCATTGTCATGCTGAGGTATTTCCACTTATTTCACTGCATCTGGTAGCACATAGCCTTTTCCAGAAGAAACTCCAGCTTTCAAGGCTGCTGGCCAGCTTCGGGTCTCATAGTAAGTTGTTAAGACATCAAAGACTGTCAGGAACAGAGAGATGTACCATGCTGTGATACTCGTATCAATAGCAAGCTCTATAATACACACCCCACTGGCTGCAAAATGTCAGGAAATTAATAGTAGCTGATGCCAGAGAAGGTTAGCATGGGGTTTGCATTCCCTCTCGTTTAAAAATCTGATGAACAAGTGTTTGAGGCAACTCATCTAGGAGCAGACAACTATTTTGAAGATGACTTTGGGGAGCTCTGGCTAGGAAAAGCAGAGGCTGTCAACTAAAGCAAGGTGCCCCAGTCACCATTTTGACTAACCTGTACTGCCTGTCTGTGCTGCTGCTGCTATGACCCCTGCCATAGTGGGTCATACGTACTGTGCTTCTACCATCACTTCTCAGATGTTCCACATCAGGGCTGCCTTGGGACATGCAGTGGCCTCTAGAAGCTAGGCTTGGTGCCCTGCAGAGCCCTCCACCACCTCCTCTGATTTGTGCTGATGGAAATGGCAACAAAGTCCTCATGCCAGCTGTAAGAACTTACTAGAACTGCCCTAGGACGTGAGCCTCTCTGTAGTCCGCAGCAGAGGGGTTTTCATATTACCCAGCCACAGACTGCCAGCCAAGGTGGAGAAGCACGGGCACATCCACTGATGCGACCGGGTGGCCCAGCCCATGGTCATGACAGCCATGATGTGGCCATCACAGTGGTACAGCACATGAACAGCCCACACTGGTGTTGTGAGCCTTGTCTTGACTGAGCCTGACAGAGGCCTGACAACTTCTGTCCTTCTCCCTTGCCTGGGACCTTGTGTGACTTGTAGGAACAGCAGTCTCCTCACATCACAGAATCACAGAATCACTAGGTT